CCAGGATTTATTTCTTCTGCGAAGTGATCTTCGGTCACAGGAAGTTCTTTGGCGCAACGCACTCCCCCCCTTGCCGCCAGGCAGCCCTCCGATCCGACAGTGCTGTAGTGCCTCGTAGGGGCTTGCAGGCGTCTGCCTGATCCAGTTAATGAACGGTTAATCCCGACGCCATTGAACGGCTCCTGCACACGCTCTTTTAGCTCCGCCTCGCCGACGTGGCCAATTTTCAACTCCGCGAACAGCTCCCGTTACGAGGAAGCGTCAAAGGGCAGTGTCTCGAGCAGGTGAAGTAGCAGTAACTTGTTCCACAGGATCTACCAAGAAATTGTGCATTCCTCTGCATTCAATTCTTTTGATTCTTCTTGGAGAAGTCGGTCCGGTAAATGGAAAAGGGGGCATAGATCAAGAGCGCAACTCAGTAAAGCAAGGCATTGTGATTTTTCGTGTACCGGGAGTATGTTGTAGCTTTCTGATGGCTATCCTTGGCGATTGTTTTCATCGATATGATGATTATTCTCTAGCATTGCATATTCCCGCACAATCTGCTACTCCTCGCCTCGTCAAAGTAGTGCTGGGCATTATCTTAGGTTTCGTAGGAACTTACGGTCGCAGGACGTAGTGCTCGTTGAAATGAATGTCCTCATGACAAATACTTGATTTGTTTGAGTGTAGGCCGCCTCTCATATTCGGTATCAGTGAAACAAGAGTTCGCTCATAGAACTCATGTACTCTCCGCTGCAATCTTGCGGAGATCCATACCCGCTGCAGTACATTGCAGAGATGGTGAGAGTGTCATTTCTTGACTGCGCATCTTGTTTTGCAAAACCAGTTGGCGTCTGGTAATCCTCTATAGTCGTAACTATAAGCTGCAGCGACAGAAGGGGCGAGAATGTACCAATGTCTGGTCAAAGCATTTTCTCAAGGACGAACTTTGAAAGTCTGCGAAGGATTAGTTTGCCGAGAGAGCGCTATTTTAGAAAATATGGAGCATTTCAAGACAATATGTTGTGTGAGAATGTAGAACCTATCCTGATATCCCTTCGGACAGGGAACAAGAAATGATAGAGCAAAAGAAGAGCACTAGAACATCCACGAGCCTACTAATCTCTCCCCGGCAAGTGAAGTTTAAAGCCTTAATTTTCCACAGAAAGTACTTATCGATATTGTTCGACAGATTAGAAATGCATCAGCTTATTGCTCTTTTACAAGAAATCTTTGAATTGAACGAAGAAGAAGTTACTTAAATCTAAACAACTATCACACCCTACCGCTTTGAGATGCATGCGGATCTCGAGATAGGTGAGAGCAAGAGAGGAGGAGGTAGGTGTGTCAGAGGTGTTGAGACATATGGCAACTTGAAGGCAGAGTGTGTTGCGGTGTGTTGCGTGTGAGGCACGAAGGTGAATGGGATGGCATCGCCGCCCATTCCATCCGGTGCAGGCGCCAGCGGGCCCGTGCCCTCCGCAGGTGCCGCCAAATCTGCATCATGCTTCGCGGTGGCGCCCGGCTACAGGTAACCTTTGACGTAAACGGGGCGCCTCATTTGAGGTGGCAACTCACAAGAAGCACAGCACCGTGTGACTTGCGATCGGTCGGTCAGCGTCTGAATCTGAATCTGAACCTTGGAGCCGCGGGTTGAGTTTAAGGAGGGAACATGTGTATCTTTTGCAAAAAGGACACGTGCTCACCAAGAGAGGTCGTCGGTATCGAAACAGCAACAGACGTGAGGGTATGCAGGCACGGGCGCTTTATCGTCAGAGGTACTGTTGTAGCAACCTGGTTTGTCATCGGTGTACTGGGGGGTTGCAGGCGAATGGTGAGGCGCTACTCTACGAACACGATAAATGAGCACAAGTGCTCCGGGTGACGCAGTCGACCCGTTGTTGCTGTTTTCTCTTTGCTCTCTCGCTGTCGCTCTCAATCCCCTTTTCTTTCTATCATCTAGTCTACCGTGCTAGCTTATGTAGCTCTGCCTGGGTTGCTCGCTACCCCTCTGATGCTCGCTCTCTCTATCATAGCCGTTGCTGATAACTTCTTGCACTAGTCTACGTACTAATTGCAATGGGCGCATAGTGCTGAGTGATCGTGTAGCCACTGCTCGACACTCCGAAGTCGAAGACTTTCTTCGACTTCGTCTTTCTGTAGCTTTGCATTTCTCTGTCGGTTCTCCGCCCGTTCGGTATCCATGCCGGTGGCAATCAATGTCGGTGGCAGTTGACGTATGTTGTACGACGTGTAATAGGTTTCACTTGGATCTGTCACAACTGTACATTCACCCTCTACAGCTGTTTGCACAAAAATGCCGCCTTCCCCCCCTCCTTTACATTCAAGGCAGGAGTTGGCGCTTCCTCGCGCTACGCTCTACGTTGATATCAGAAAGCGGACGGGGGCTGCGCAAAAGAAAAAAAGATTTGTAGCGCCCCAGTTCTAGTGCGGTGCGACGCAGAGTCCTTTGCGCGTCTCGCACAACACCTCGGCGCTCAGAGCTGCTTATGCGTAATTGTCCTCTGCTAATAAAGCTATACCGCACAGCTGAGCGCATATCGACGTCGCCGCTGCTACTGTGTCTAACAGCACGTAGTAGAGGGGGGTTTCCCTTCCAGATGATCTTGACGCACACAACCACCTCACCCCGAACGTTGACATAACCGTATGTGCCACACATCTTCGTTTCCCCCTCAGCAGTCTGCACCAGCGCGAGTTGGGCGTCGTAGGCCCTGCCACTATGCAGCCCTTGTGTGCAGCGCCAACCAACAGCGGGGCCGGGGGGTTCGGACAGTCCTTTAGACGTCGTCTGTGCCCTGCGTCTCGTCCGACGGGTCGGCGATCTCGACGGGGTGCACTGCCCCAGTCGGAGGAACTGCTGCGGGTGGCCCAACGGATGGTTGAAAACCCTAGCGCGTAGTAATGCCTCGGTGCACGGTCTCGTAGGTAACGGGCAAGTAGACTATGTCCCCCACTTCCGATGAAATGACGTCTACCCTGTTGCTCTTGGTTGCTTTGAAGGCACCTATTAGGGCCACCGTGCCCATGGAGAGGCCTCGTATAGAGAAGCCCTCTACTGCGACCTCCACGTTCCAACGGGATACTTTCTCGTTCAACCCCGGCAGTAAGGAGTGCTGGCGCATGTGCTCAATACTTAATACCTTCACTGCCTCCACGTCAGGGCCCGAGATGCTGAAAGGTTTCGCTGCTATCTGGGACTGGTTGCTCACCCAGTTCCCGATTCGAGTCTCTCCGCGATATGACATTTCAGCGTCATAACCGAGCCATCCCAAAGCCATCCCTAGTCCCCAGGCCTCCATTACGCTGGGCACCGTCCAGCCTTCCTGCCTCGCCGTGATTGTAAGGCTGAATTTGTCGGACAAGGACTTGAAAGCCCCGTCGCGCGGTAGCCTGGCTAGCACGTGTATGTGTGATGCCGGCGGAGGGATGTGGCGTACATGCAATAGAGACCCGTCCTCCGATGTCTCGATGTCGTACCCCAGAAGATTGTCGCCGGTCAACGATACGGGCAAAGTGAGTGCGTCGTTAACCTTCCAGTCGAGGTATCGCATTCCAAAGCCGGCCGGGACAGGGCAGTAGGCCTTGTGTCCTGTAATCATGGATGCGTAGCGGTAGTATGCGACCGCCGGAGCATCTGACATCCTATGTTGCCTGACTTGCTCCAGATCCGCATCCTGGAAAAAGTCCTCTGCTTCCACAAAGTAGCGGCCCCAGAGGCTGGCAGCGTTGTACATGCCTCCATGGACAGCAGTTGATATGCCCGCATTCCTCCACCAGCGCCACGTGAGCAATGCAGAGGCAGACAGCCCGTAAGCATCCCCAGCTAATATAGTGCGATAATGCCCCCTGAACGCACTGAACGCAGGTAGTACCAGCTCACGTTTCCGCTTTAACCATGCCATCCCTTCGGCTCTGTCCGGCACTGGCGCCAATGCACACTGGTGGAAGATAGCAAAGGCTACTTCGAACTGGGCATGCAGACGGTTTGTATCAACGTACCGGTCCAGAGTCGCCCGGCACAGCTGGGCTGTTACGTCGTCGGTCGCTATGGGGTCGCCCGACACCAGATTCATAGTCGCGTTTACATATACCTTATCACACAGGCGGGGTATGGCCAGGTCGAACGCGAGTTTGGTAGTCTTAGCCCGTCCGCCCATGACTGTGAGAAGGAGCGAAATCTCCTTCTTGGTGAGTCCGTCGCACCGCACCACGTTACATTCAGACGACATCTCAACCGCTTCCGGATCCCACCCTTCAATGTCCATGAGCATATCGGGCTGCCACTGCTCTGCAAGGTCTGGGATATCCATTATATCTTCCACCTTGATGCCGACATGCCCGTCTGCATATGCGTGGACCGACTCGGTCAACCCTGCCTCTCTGAACTCCTGGACATAAAGCTGAGATAGCAGCCCGACCAGCAGGGCCACCTGGCTATCGTCCCTTAGGTGACCCGCCGCATTTGCCTCGATCCTGATCCGAGTAGCCCTTTGCATGCCCGCATTGGGTCTAATGTGCGGTGCGATGAGCTCCGGGTCCACAAATCCGGACTCAGCTATAAAAGAAGAATTCATCCCTCTGGGGTCGTCGACAGCGTAGGACATGGTGACATCAATGTCGCCCAGAGCAGTGTAGTCCTCTATGGCGGTGTACGTCCTTTTTTCGTTCGTAACGGCGTCACTTACGACGGCGTCACTTACGACGGCGTTGACTCTGCGGGAGACTGTGAATCCTCCGAAAGCCGCTTCCTTGTTGAACGTCATGGCGGCATATCTCCCGACGTACGAAACGTAGTTGCTGTACATCCTGGGGATTTCGTTGGGTAATTTGTTCGCGTACGCCCCGAGCGGCACGCGCTCCACCCCGACGTCGCGGCCGCCCCACTGCTCTGGTCAGAACTCGTCGGCCCTGCTCCAGATGCCGGCACGAGAGAGGCTGCCGCACGTGCGTACAAAAGAAGGTCTATTTTTGTTTACTCACACGTGCACACGTGCACACGTGAACACCTGTAACTTCGTGACCATCACCATTTATATATTGATAATTGTGGCCTAATTCTCAACGCAATTTGCGGCTCTGTGGCCAAATTGGATAAGGCATCGGTCTACGGTCCGCAGCTCCTGGAGCAGCTTCCGAGTAGTGATCCGGAGATTGCAGGTTCAAGTCCTGCCAGAGTCGTCTTTTTTTGTCTTTTTTCCTTTCCTTCCTTTTTTTATTTTTAAATCACCCTCCCTGCTCTCATCTCCCCCTGGCCAAGTTTTGATACGCGAAGGCTCTACAGTACCCTCCCTTGGTAACTTCCAAGTCGAGTCATAGTGTTTGAACATAATGTCATTATTACGTTGGTCCACGCTACCTAGTAGCTTGAGCACACAAGTTGGCTATTTATTTTCATCAAGATTCGTTTTAGCAGTCCTTCCACAATTTAGAGCAGGCGTTGTACGGTACTGCGTCCGTAAAACCATTCGCAGCGCAGTGCGTCCGGTCTCGTTGTCATGGGTATCTTCTCATCCATTGCCGGGTCTCCCCTGGGCCTCTACGTACGTCACCGCGGCTCGTTCCTTTTTCTTCCACCGCCACCTTGTCAAGGGTGTTCTAACGAGTTTCTGTCCAACAGCTCTCGGCCCTGGGAGCCATAGCCGCCGTCAACGCCATCGGTGCGCGTGCGGATCTTCGTGTCTGGCGCGCTATGCAGCGCGTCGCGGCTGCCAAGCAGCGGCGGATCCAGAGGTTGGAAGCGCAGCGGGGAAAAGGTGCCGAGCAGAGAAAGATCGAGTGAGAAATGATCTTTCCTGCAAGGACGGCGTTGATCCCATTCAATACTCGAGGAAGCCGTTTCGTGCATATCACTTCGAATATGCCTGTACCCAGCCCCTCAAATCTCTCGCGTGCTCTCCGCTGCTCTTGTAGAGCTGCTCTCCATGGCGCAGTGCTTACTTTGGTGGCCACCGATTGCACCCATGCCTCCGCCGAAGGCTCCAGGAGATGGAAAACTTGTCGTGGATGAAGGGATATATTAGGAATGAGAGTTGCAGCGTGCGTTTAGGACATGCATTTGAAAGGTAGGTGATGACGGAAAGAAGTGATAGGAATTGTGAAACTAGTTAGTACACTGCTAACGTTTGGGGTGGGGTGGTAGATGAGGACGAGTTCAGGTTGCCTGAAGGGGTTAAGGTTTGCCAACATGTTCATTTATTCCTTCGGTTGCGAGCAGCACGAGCGATGGACATTTCTGGCCTGAAGTATCTATGAGAATCCCGGTCCATGTATTCGCGTGGTAGAAAGCGTATGTGATTCGTTAGTCCTAGGATTGTACAGGCTAGAACAAAGGATAGGGGGCAGCCGGACGTCCTTAAGATAATTTTGCACTTGATGTGGATGCTAGCCCGCATAGCATTTTGCCGTACTACGTGCGCTTGCAAACTGATTCCATCCTTCAGCCATCATGAGGAAGAAACAAACAGGTTGCGGCCCATCAGTGACCCTGGAGTGGTCTTTTATGCATCGCCGCGGATTTGTCTTTGCGATAGCAACTTTGTATCTCCTGCCCAGCAGCATGCGGGATCAAATGGCAGGACTCAGGCCAGTGTTTCTGCTCGCCGCATCGACCGAAGCTCATCTCGGATGTGCCACGCATTAGAGAGATTGGAGTCAGACTTGCCTACTGAAGTGATCAGGTGGTAGAGAACGACTTGGACTAAAAAAATTGCAAACTATATTCCCAAAGAACGCACACCCGCCCAGGGCAACGCGACGGATCACTCCAAAGCCGCATGCACTTCTGTATCAGGTGGTGATGGGAAGCAGGGAGGGTGCATTGTAGAGGGGGGGGGGGGGGGGGGGGTGCTCTGATAATGGAAGAGGGAGAGGAGAAAGGAAAGAGAAAAGT